TTCTACATTTTTAGCTTTAGCTACTGTTCCACATTTTTAGCTTTAGCTACTGTTCCACATTTTTAGCTTTAGCTTGTTTTCTACGTTTTTAGCTTTAGCTTGTTTTCTACGTTTTTAGCTTTAGCTACTGTTCTATATTTTAGCTTTAACTCCTGTTTTACGTTTTTAGCTTTAGCTACTGTTCTACATTTTAGCTTTAGCTACTGTTCCACATTTTTAGCTTTAGCTAGTTTTCTACATTTTTAGCTTTAGCCACTGTTCCACATTTTTAGCTTTAGCTTGTTTTCTACGTTTTTAGCTTTAGCTACTGTTCTATATTTTAGCTTTAACTCCTGTTTTACGTTTTTAGCTTTAGCTACTGTTCTACATTTTAGCTTTAGCTACTGTTCCACATTTTTAGCTTTAGCTAGTTTTCTACATTTTTAGCTTTAGCCACTGTTCCACATTTTTAGCTTTAGCTTGTTTTCTACGTTTTTAGCTTTAGCTACTGTTCTATATTTTAGCTTTAACTCCTGTTCTACGTTTTTAGCTTTAGCTACTGTTCTACATTTTTAGCTTTAGCTCCTGTTCTCCGTTTTTAGCTTTAGCTCCTGTTCTGTCCTTCAGCTCTGTTCAGACTCGTTGATAAATGCAGCGGTCTGACTGAGCCTCCTGTGTTCTGGAGGCGGTTCGACTTAGAAAAGAAACCAGGACGTGGATTCTCCCGTTGGCCGTGGGATCAGGGCAGATGATGCTTTTAGCTGGAGCAGAGGAAGACCACGTCCTCTCTGAAGTGCAGACAGAGTGGGGGGGTAGAAGCAGCTCGAGCCCACGCAGCCCTCCCACTCACCGCAGAGGAGAGCCCACGTCAGCAGAATGAAAGCTGATGTAACCCACTCACAGTGGAAGTTACAGTCATGTCGTGTGGGCTGCTTATCGCTCCACTCTGTTTTTATTTGAAAGATTTTCACACTCTGTACACAGACTCTGGCTCTGCTGACCCCACCGCTCAGACAGGAAATGCTCTCCTCATATTAGTGCCATCCAGTTTCCAGTTGTAAGGCAGAGATAAGTCTGGATGGTGTCCTCTGTGGACGATGACTCATTGCTCATAGGTGCTTTGTGGTTCTGGTCAACTGTTCAAGCAGAGTCTGAAATTACCACCTGCCTGAAGAAAGTGGCAAGAACAGCAACTGCTTCTACTTTACTCATATTACTTTTCAAACACAAGCATTTCAAAATAAAACAGATAAAGCTGGAGAAATTACATTTATAATTATCATTTATTTATTGAACAGGTTCTCATTTTATATATATGTGTGTTATATTGTGTGTTAAAATCTTTGCCCTTGTGCTCCCGTCACAGGAGGGTCAGCAGCTGATCAAGGAGAAGCCAGAACTGAGCCCGGTGGTCCGGAAGAAGCTGGAGGAGATCAGAGAATGCTGGCACGATCTGGAGAGCACCACTCAGGCCAAAGCCCGCCAGCTTTTCGAGGCCAACAAGGCCGACCTGCTGGTTCAGAGTTATGAAAGCCTGGACCAAAGACTGGGCCAGCTGGAGGGTCAGCTGGCCTACGTGGACCAGGGACAAGACCTCACCACTGTCAACAAACAGCTCAAGAAACTACAAGTATGTAAAATGTCCATTTTTGTCCCAGAAACATGCAGATTAAATATTCTCTCTGTCAGAGTTTTTAATGATGTGATCCAACAAATCTAGTTTCTGTTCTTTAAGTAGGTTAAATATTTTTATTTAATAAGAAATATTCAATTTAAAGTACTTGAAAGTGCTTTACAACATGTTTATTATTCTTTTGTTTTTTAAATTTCAGCTCAGTTTTTTGCAGACGATAAATGATTCGGAGGCAGCTTTGCATGAAAAACAAAATTTTGCTTTTAGCTCCATTTTATCAGCTTTGTTTATTAATACAGAAACAAAGATGTGATTTTTTTTTTCTGTTTAGCTTTTCATCTCATCAGCGCAATCTTCCTCTCATTTATTTTGTTATTTAAGTTGAATTCATCAGGATTCATGCAAACCCAGGCAGTTTCATCCCAACATCAATAATGAGCAGGATTTTTTTTTTTATCAATGTTTTCCAATAAATTCACACGTTTGTGATTTATTCTGTTGGGTTTGAAACTATTGAGACGTTTGTGTAGCTGTGGAGTTGTAACCAGGACAAATGCTGAATTTTATTTGAATATTTCATTTGTTTTAAAGCTTAATAAAAGCTTAAAGTTCAGCTGATGCAGCAAGTTTTACAAATATTAATACTCAATATCGCTCTGCTAGTTATATTTTTTAATATGTAGTAATGCATTTTTTGGGCTTTATAAACATTTTATTTATTTGTAAAGGTGGTAAAATGGACTTTTTAACATGTAAAGATTGCAGACCTCTGCTCTGACCAACTAAACCTAGAGAATTTTGGACATATTTTTTTGAGATCTTAATAGTAAAAATGTGTTTTATGGTGGAGGTGGCAGAAGATGGTCTTCATTCATTTACACCATTGATCTGTATTACTGGATTGGACATCACGTGACTTATGCGCCACACAGGTGCCATTGAGTTTTGATACAGGAACATCCATGAATGGTGGTAAAAAGGAGACGCAGCGGACAGTCATGCAAGGAATATCATAAATTGTCAACACGACAACAAGATCACAATATCAAGGTTATCACATTTTACAGGTCATCAAAATATTTTTTTATTTTAAAAAAATGGCGGAGATGTGGAAAGTTGGTCAGTTATCGTTATGCTTGGTTTTGACAACCTTCTGGTAAACCCACAAAAGACAAATTTGCTGTTTCAACAAATTTTTATTTATTTATATATTGTTATTTATTTGTTGTTATGTCTGTCCAGTCAGCACGTGTTATATCCCGTAGTTTATGTTTATACATATCAGAGTAAAAAGCAAAAACCCCATGACTTTCTTTTCTCTCCACCGTACATTTCGTAAGCTAATTGCAAAGATTTTAACATATACAGTATATATATAAAAAACAGGTCTCTTGTAAATGAGACAATGAGTCTCAAGAGATTTTCCTGTATAAATAAAGGAAAATAAAATAATTATATAAATAAAAGTAGAGCCCATTCTTCAGTTTCCTTTTAAGAGCAATCATTTCAGATTTCGACTGAAAGTCTAAATTATAATTGAACCTCATTGCTATGACACATGACACCTCCGCCCTGCACTGCCAGTGTAAATACTCTCATTGGGCCTCATGCAAGAACCGTTCGTACGCACAGATTTGTTCTTAAGTTGTGCGTACG